ACACACACACACACACACACACACACACACACACACACACACACACACAGTATTTGATCTGTTATTTGAGCTTTCTGTTACTGCATGAGTCACCACGGCCAAGATTAATGAATGAAATGTGAGCGTGTCCGTGTGTGTTTACGAAGAAAGCGGTTGAAAGAAACGGGGAAAGAGAGTTTGCACTTTGCCCTTTTCAACCCTTGATCTGTCGCTGTGTGTCTGCTCTGTTCTTTCTCTTCAATATCCCTTCATTCTCTTTTCGCCAGTCACGTTTGTCTTTCTGTCATTTCGTATTGATTAGTTTGGAACAGACGAAAAGATGTTTGGTCGGTTTTCTTTGGTTTTTTTTGCCTTATTTTATTTTATTTTATCATCCATCTAGTTTTTCTTGTTTGACTGGCCTTCAGTGTGCTCTTTTGTGGTGACTGGATAAAAGTGGAAATTATAGTCACTCAGTGTCCAAACACACATTTCTTCCTTCTGTGGCGTAACTTTGCTACACAAGAATCAGTCCATTTCTATCCAAAAATGTCCCTGCTTGCCCTTTTGACTGGAAATAGACCCAGGCAGCAATAAACTGACTTTTGCTATTCTGCTCTAACGATGGAGGGTGGTGTTATTTGGTGTCTTCTTTTCTTTTCCTTGGAGGTGTTCCATTTGCTCCTTAGTTATTTTGTGGCTAAGGTCCCCCTCCCCAGTTACCTCCATTCTTCTGGACCATGTTCTCTAGAGCGCCGAACACCTTGCTGCCACGTGTTTGTTGTTACAATGGTGAGAGCATCGAGAGCTAGCATCCTCTCTCCTTTCCCTTCCTCTTTCTCTCGTACTCTGCTCTGAGCTCTAACTATGCTGCTATCAGGTTTGGGGCAAAAACAGGTGGTGGTTGGTGGGGAGGGCGGGGAGGGGCATTTAGGTTTCTTTTGTTCCTGGGATTATTTGTTCCTTTATTTATTATATTTTTTCTGTTTCCCTGACGACTTCTGTGTGTTGTTGTCAGTCTCCACGGTAACCACTCGCTGTTTCTACGGTAACGGTAAGTTGTGTACAAACATCTATCACTAAAATTGATCCCCTTTC